TCTCGGATTCTCCAGCATCTGCAGTTCCTACTATCTCTGATTCGATTTTATATCATCCTGCATTGTGTTCTGACACATGTACAAATTGACTTGTGTTGGACTAAAGAATGGAACTCATTTACATCCCGGGGCTGCCTATACCTTTCTTGGAAGGCTTAACATGATAGAGACCCAAAAATGCTGAGCAATCAACTGAAGATCTGCATTTTCCCAGGGGCTTCCAAATTTCATGGTCAAGGCCAGGATGTCACCCTATGGGCAGTATCACGTACTAAGTGTGCCCTCCACTCCAACCCTGCCTTCCACCCACAAACCACAGCTCCCACTTTATCTTACCAGGAAATGCCTTGCTGTCATAATATCTCTGATCCACAGGGAAGTGGGGATGAGGACCTCATCATAAAATAAATCATGTCTGTTAAACCATATTCTACACCACTTTCTAACTAAGTGCCCTGTAAAAGATAGAGAGGATGAAGGTGAAATTCTCTTTAACCGTAATAACTCCTTTCTCCTGCATCCGGCCAGGTGTATCATGAAGATTGGCAAATTGGGTCGCCACTTGTTGGTAAATTGGAAGCAGGAACTCTTCTCGAGCTTTCAATTTGGCTTCTAACTCCTTCCTGATTTTCTGAGAAAGCTCTAGAGAACCTACAAAGATTGAGCAAGCACAGATCAGCGGATCAAATTATAGCACAGACAAGGAGAGGGGCACACATTTAAAATGGAGAAACTTTGAAACAGGGTTTGCATTTTCCTTACCCAGCTGGTCAGCAAGGCCTGAATAAATGGCGTCAATTCTCCTCATTGTCTTCACCAAGTCTTTCCGCCTGAACTTGATCTCCACAGTGCCTTCAGGCTCCAGCACACCACCCCTGAGGCGTGAGGATAGGAGAAAATTCTCTTGAATTTCTATGTTTCATGGTCAATCATAGTAAAAATCAATAAGTTATTTTGATTGGGGTGTCAAATTTGTGTCTGCAGCAAAAAAAATATTAAAATGCTACCTCTCCCTTTCAGGAGAAATCTCGTTCTTCAAAGCCCACTCAACCTTTTTGAATTTTCCAGTATAAAGCACGACCCCCAAATACAATCTGCACCCAAACAATTGGTTTTACTCAATCATTATTTTCTTCTTGCCAACTTCCTGCTCTCTTCTGCAGGCACACAGTCTTCATTTGGATGCAGTTCCACACAGTCGTTGGAAATAAAAGAGATTCAAAATGGCTGCCAAATTGCTATCACCCAATTTGCACTATCCCACAGTGTCATCATCTACTGTATTGTATGCTTTATAATAATAAGGCATGTACGTTTCAATTTCATGGCATACTGTGCCTTGTGAAACAAGATACTACGCTGCCCCACCAGCTGAACTACATACTGTAGATTGATTTTCCCCTTTATTCTTTCAGGTGTATAGGCATCACTGGAAAGTTTATGAGCAGGAATGTCTTGCTGCAATTGTACAAGGCCTTAGTGAGACCACACTGGAGTATTGTGTACAGTTTTGATCTCCTTTCTGTCGTCCATCTCCAATTTCCCTTGAACTGAGTGGTTGCTAGATTGTTTCAGATAGAAGTTAAGGATCAACCACATTGTTGTTTGTCTGGAGTTGCATGTAGGCCAGACCAGGTAAGGACAGTTGATTTCTTTTCCCAGAGGACATCAGTGAATCAATTGGGTTTTTACAACAATCAATGATAATATCATGGTCTGCCAGCTGCTGTGCTGAAATCTGAACCCATAGCCCCAGAAAATTATCTTCAGCTTCTGGATCACTAGTCCAGAGACATTACCATAATGTAACTGTCTCCCATTTAGCCAATTGAAAATTGGCAATTATGCAAATGGCCTTCAAAGGTGATAGGATTCGAGTACAGGAGCAGGAATGTCTTGCTGCAATTGTACAGGACCTTGGTGAGATGGCTGTTCTAACAATGAAAGGACTGCAACAAATATTTACCACGCTAATGTCTGAGATGGCAAAACTGACACATGAAGAGTCTAGATTGGTAGGATATATTCACTCAAGTTTAGGAGAATGAGGTGGGGTGGGGGCTGATGTCAAAGAAACCTATAAAATTCTAACAGGGTAAATGCAGGAAGGATGTTCTTGATGAACAGGGAGTCCAGAACCTGGGGTTACAGTACAAGGATTCAGAGAAGGCCGTTTAGGAGTGAGAAGAGGAGAAACTTCTTCACCCAGAGAGTGGTTGAGCCTGAGGAATTCTCTGCCACAGAAAACATTGAAGCCAAAACACTGAATGTTTTAAGGAAGAGTTAGAAACAGTTCTTAGGGCTAAAGAGACCAAATGGTATGGGGAGAAAACAGGAACAGAGTACTGAGTTGGATGATCGGCCATGATCATACTGAATAGCGGAGCAGCCTCAAAGGGCTGAATGGCCTACTCCTGCTTGCATTTTCTTGGTTTCAATACTTCAGGTGATATTAGCCAAATGAATAGATGAGAGAAGAAGAGAAAAATATCTAAATTGTCTTAGCATCATACAGATATTTTGGTGGGGGCATACTACATTTACCTGACAACGGAATTTGTAAATATTCTTTAATCAGTACCTGCTTTCTTGATCCGCATAGAGTTCTATGTAAAGTGGATTGATTGTAGGATCAATTACTGCCCACGAGCCACCTCGGAGTTCAGCATGAGGTGGGATGTAAACGAGCACAGGCTGCTGGAACTCCCTTAAACTATCTACGATACTGGCACCAAACTTCAGAACCTGATCATACATATCTAATGGAAAAAGGCAAGAAAGGAATTCAGACAGTCCATTTTGGATTCATCATGAACTCAGCAGAAGGGCAGCCACGCATAGTGTTTCGCCTTAGGATCTGTCAAGATTCTGTTGCATTTTAGGGAAATGAAAACAAGTAGAGGAATTTCATTTTGTAAAGTGGAGTCGTGCCCCAGAAACAGATAACTCAATTATCTACTTTTCTAATTACCCACTACAACCTTCACAGATAAAACCATGCACAAGATTTCACCACATTGTGAAATACGCAGTCTCCTTTCTCTTTGGTCTTTTATGTCTTTTTGTTGCTGATTAATTCACACATTTCTTTCTGTAAATATTTGTAGAATTATTTGCTCACATGGAAGGCAAATGTTCAGACAGACTGCTTGTGCTGAAATCCAGTTTGTGTGTTCTAACCTTCTTTCCGTGTATAAATGCAATGTCTAGTGGGAAGTGAAGTATTAACAGCAAATAAGGCAGATGAATTGGAACTTATGATAATGATTAAAGTCATTTAGAATGCTGTTCCCTTTCTAAAACATTTTTTATCTCTTTCCTAAGGATATTTGCTGTCCTTACTATTTGGGGAATGTGTCACTCAGTACATTACTGATTATTATGTAATGTCTGTTCAGCACTTGAATGTAACAGAGTCCTGTTATGTAATTCTGGAAACAATTTGTTTTGATAAAATTATGGACCTTACCTTTCATTCCACCAGAAAACCCTCGCCAGTTAGCAAACACAATAAGGGGAAGCCGTTCTCGTTTGAAGTCCTTAATCACTTGTGCAGTTTTAAAAGCTGAGTCTGGAAACCACACCTGTCCAGCTTGCTGAACAATCTGTCGAATACAACAGAAAAAAGACCATCAGCTGAATAAATTGAGAAATTCACTCAACTATTTGTGGACTGTAGCAGCACATTACTCCGCCAAAAAAAGACCCAACATTTGTCATCAAAATAATAAATGAGGCTAACAGCAAGAAGAAATGTGCAATTATATGTGAAAATGCAAAATTTTGAGTCTTGTCTGCCTCAGGAAAATTGCGTCTCACAGTCTGATTCACTATTCAAATGCATTAAAGGCATACATTTCCAGTACTTGCCCATACACTTGCCACAGAAAGTTAGGAATATCCATTCTGTTTAAGTAGCCATTTAATGACATAAGTGTCAATCACTGCCAGTCAGTTTCTCTGCCACTGGAAATGAATTATTGTAATTTTGGACTTTCATTCCTTCAGGTTTTAACTTCAATTGGAAACTTTTGAATTTTTAAAATACATTTCTGAATCTCCTTTCCTTTTCTTTTAATCCAAATTTTCTTTTCCTCTCTTAATTTCCCCTTCTGTACCTCATTTGACATTAAATTTGCCATTCAGTATTCAGACCGTGTACTATTCCTACTGCAATCCTTGAAACGGATTGATTTCAGAGATACAGTTACATGCTTTGATCGTTCAAATTGTAGATGCCCTGTGGAAGGTGCTGCATTGCTGTAAATGCATGTTAGAAACAATGTGCACTGCAAAATATTACTGAGATTAAATGGGAAAGAGCAAGTCTAATGAAGAAATGGTGCCGATGACTGACTGGCCACTGCCAATTGTTGACCATTTAATTCTTCTTCTCCTGCTGTGGAATGTTTAAAAATTCTTGGGAATTTGGAGAACTTTAATTTCACTTGCTTTCTCTTTTAGGCCCTCATCTGCTGCCAGACAGTAACTTGAACTGAATTATTATTCACCAATCCAACAGCCTTCTTGCTTCCTGCCCAGTTTTCATGTATTAGCCAAGGTTGGAAATGTCAATAGGCTATTTCACTGGCTTAAATAACCAGGGCCAGGGGTTACATTAGGGAACCAATAGATCAGACATGGGCTTCTAGGGGGCTTGCAGTCTTTGGGTCAGGTGCCTTGTCCAGGAGCAATACCGGGACTCGCGATTTCTGTCCCTGTCCCCAGTAATAACTATTCCTCATCAGACAGAAAGTTGGCTAGATACTTAAGCGCTGTAGACATTGCAACCATCTTAAGCCATATCCAACTGTTATATTACCTTGCAGAATCACTAGACTGTGATCAGAAGCAGGTTATTTATAAAATAAATCTTTTTGAACATATTTGGGACAAGTGGGATTTGAATCTCGACCTTTTGGCCCAGAGGTAGAGACTCTATCCTGCACGGTGACACTCAGGTCAAACCACCACCAGTCGTCTCTCTCTAATGAGAGAGCAGCCCAATGGTCCCCTGAGACTATGGCAACTTTACCTTTTCACATGCTGATTTCCCCCCTCCTCAGCTCAGACATCCCAAATGTAGCAAACCAATTA